TTTTTTTTTTTTTAAAAAGGTGTTGTTTTTCTCTTCTGTCATTATTGAAAGCGTGTTACAATTCACATTCGCATTTTTCTTTTTCTCATATAATTATTTAATTCATTTAAATCGTTTTCTAAATTGTTTCACGTTCGCTTCTTTTTTTTTTTTTTAGTTTTAAATTCGTTTTTCGTTTATATTTTCTTCGCTTTCGATTTTATTCCCTTTTTCATTCATCGTGTATGTGTATGCGTGAGTTCCATTTTTATACGTGTGCTCATATATAATTTGGGAAATAGCATATTGTTTTATAAGTAATTGCAACAAATTAAACCTGAAAACCCCATCAAACATGCAAAGAAATGCGTCAACAACCTGCGTTGTTGCGTAGACATCTATAGATTTAAACGGAATTTTTTTTCGTCCTTTATTCCGGCATATTTGTATTTAAAAGTTAAGAAAGGCATAAAAAAAAAAAAATATGTACCAAATACTGGAAATAGTGTTTATTTCAAAGATTACTTATGCATGAGTGCTTTTTTGTTGTTGTTTTTCATATTGTTTTTTTTTTATTTTTATTTTTTTTTTAATTATTGCGGTTTTTCTGCTGACCATTCATTGAAATTCTATACGTATGAGTGATGACTGATGATTATATTCTTGCTATACTGCAATTACTTCACCCTAAACATCGCGTCCGCGTCCGTGTCACTATGATGTGTTCATTACTTTTACCAAACTATTAATTATATTTAAATTTTTTTTTTTTTTTTCTTTTTTTTTTTTTTTTTTCTTTTAAATTGCAAAAATGATGATTTAATTGTGAAATATGTGGAAGAGTAAGTAAATCCTAATGTTACACCTTGGCCGGATCAAAGTGCCTAACACCCTACGCATCTTGGGATTAGTAATGGAATTATGATATTCATCTCAAGTTTCGATTTGCTTTGAAAACTTAAACACACCATGGAGCAGGTTTAGCGAAAGACAACTGTTAGAAGAATTATTCTTTAGCTAACAGTTTCTTCACTTCATCAGCGATCAGTAAACGTTTGCAATGAATTCTTATTACCTTCGTTAAGTAAAGCAAGGAAAGTGAGAAGTGCAAGGAGTAGGTAACAACTATAATAAGGATAACGTACCAAGCAACGAATTATTTACTAAAGCGAAAGGTATATAGGTACGTGTCTGCACTACAACTTGTAACTAGTACTAGTATACCATTCGGATGAGTGCCACACAAGATGTGGATGCAAAACTCTTCAAAGATGATATAATTTGAATGATTTATAACTTAGTAAAGAGCGCTTTGTGTCTTTCTAATACATGTCAACGTAAATATGGAAAGATTTCTCTATGTATTGTACACGAATGCTTAATACGGTCTTCAACAGAGACAGAAGAGTTAAGTAATAGCGTAGATAATTGCCGTACGCTAAGAAAGAGGAAGATATTTGGATAGCCCTGAAACAGTCAAAAAAAAAAATTGCGTGGGACGAGATCTACCTAACACATAAATACTTTATGTCTTCTGATAATTTGCGATCAAGTTAATATAAAAAACTACCAACAGCATTGCCAGAAAAGCTGAAACAAAAAACTTTTTCGATTCTTGACATTATTGATAACTAGAAGTACCGTAGGTAGCATTGTATATAACATTCACGTTCGGATCTTCTATATATTCTCCGGCGTACTATATTACCTCTCCGTTACAGTGCGGAAATAGAGAGAGGAACATAAGGAATTCTTGATGAATTTCTTGAGATGCGATGACTTGCTTTTAATGAACAAGGAAAGGCTACCTACCGTCTTAACGGTTTTTGTTTTTTTTTTGTAATATGATCATCAATCACTCCGGGGGTATTCACCATTTCTATAACACGATGATTGTCAGAAAGAAGAGATGACAAATAAAAAAAAAAAAAAAATAGGAAGGCGGCGGCCACAACCTAACTGGTGTGTACCTAATCGATAAGTGTTATGCCGACATTGACTTCGTAGTCGCGATTCTTACCTATTCTGCTATTCAGGTGGTTTGGAGTCTCTAAGGTAAGCAGAAAAGAATGATAATAAAATTGTTAAAGAAAGTGTTTTTTTAAACGTACTTTGGATTCAGATTATATTTCTCTCCAAGAAACGCGGATGATGTGCCTTGATAGAGCTTTAGAAAACACGGAATACGTTAAAAAGTTGCTTGGATTATAATTTATTCGTAATGATTACAAAGATAATCTTTGCGCCTTATTCAGGGCAAGTAAACTATTTAACGTTATGTTGATGTACAACTTACGTCCGCTAGAACGTACTTAAGTTTTTTTTTTTTTTTGAATTTTATGCATCAGTTCTTAAGCTAATGCTTCGCGAAAATCGCCAAGAATCCAAGCAGCGCAAGATAATATCATTTTTGTATTTGAGACGAAATTTTTGATAACAACATGAATAAATTTGGAAAATATTTGGGATACGTTTTACGTGAAAGTCAAGCTGCAAATCAATTGAAATGGATGGACATGTGAGATTATGCCGACAGTATTCCTTGCTCGTTAATATGCTTTAGAAAATAAGGATCAACATGTGTAGTCATTCTCAAGAATCTTATTTGTCATATGTCTTTTATCACATGTAAAAGCGATTTCATTATTTTATTTTTTATAAAAATATGATATTAAAAAAAAATCAAATTGGAAAATATGTTTCATGATATATGTAAATTGTCAGTTCATTTTGGAACCTATTTTTATTTATTTATTTATTTATTTTTTTTTTTTTTTTAACATAAAAGGAACATTTCAGCATTGAGGACAACTAACACTTGTGGATAACGCAAGTTTTTACGTTTAAAATTGTTGACGCACGTTTCACGTGAGGAATGCATTCAATTTTAGTTTTTTTTTATTGTTTATTGCTTTGCGTTGCGTGGTTGTAAATGCTTCTCTTCTCCTCAAAATTATAACAAATATAATTACATACAGGAAATTTATTTAATAACTCCGTTAAGTAAGTTCGAACGAAAACTTTTCCTAAGGACATGCATTGAAAATATTGTTCATTACATTTATTTTTACATAATGCATCCGTTAACATTAATTTGTTTCATTTCAGTATTATATGTAATTTTAGTTTGTGTGTGTGTATATGTGTGGATGCATATAATAATATAAAGTTACGCATTCATATACATAGATATGTATAGATAATAAATTAATGAATACCTAGTATTTGAAGAACACATCAATCTATTTATTCATATTAAAAAACAAAACAAAGAAAAGGAATAGAAAGTTATGTCCGCCTTCGGACGTATGTTGAACACATTTTCTCAACAGCTCTCAAGCGAATATTTATATAAAGGAGTAAAGAATATTTTTTCATTGATTAATAAGAATTATTATTGCACTGAGCGAACTTATGGTGAACGTCTAAGCAATGATTTGAAAACGATGTAGGAAATTGTATTGGTTTGGGGCATAGGAGTGGGGCGGAGTAAACTTATTCTCAACTAACAGCATATTTGCCAAAGTTTTAGGTTTGAATTAGGTTTTGCAAACTGTGAGAATTCCTACATACAGAAGATACATGGAAGGATATCGCTTATTAAAAAAAAAAAAAAAAAGAAAAAATTGTATATAATTTTTACTCTGTGCCATCGTTAGTGTTTTCGAATGTTACAACCGCACTGACAAATGTAAAACACTTTTGCGCTACGGTGGTGGGCACAAAAATAATAATTTATTTCTCTGTATAATAAAAACAAAAAAAAAAACAAAAAAAAAATTGCTTTATAAAAGTTAAAGTTATTTTACGCACATAAAGACTAACATGCACGCAGTAGCTTACTAGTTCAGCTTAGTTTAGGGACAATTGACAGAAGGAAGAGGAAAAAAGGAAGGCTCACGCATGTTGGCCTGTTTACCACATGCATGAAATTTGAATTTTCTTTTCCTTATTCACAAACATATTTATTTTTTAGTTTTTCTAACCGGAAGCTAAAATAACATGTAGAAAAGGAAAGAATCACAGTTTGTGCTGTAAAAAAAAAAAAAAAAACTATTGGCAAAAATAACGTAGAAAAGTTGAAAACAAACTTGAAAGCAAAAAAAAAAAAAAAAAAAAAAAAAAAA